GACGGGGAATTTTCAAGATCAAACATGTAAATGTTATCTACTCTACTACCACAAAGAATAGTCCTATTGTCACACAAGCGTTCTACAATGCATTTACTAGAATCAAAGATGACACGGTTACCTCTATCGCACAATTGACTAATGCTAAGAAGATTGTGCTTGAGGCCCTCAACAAGAAGAACGTTCTCAACGGTTGTAGAATTGTCCTTTCCGACGATGCCACTTCCAATGATCCTTCCTTTGTTGTTGTCACCAAAAACAACATTGCCACCTTTGAAAAACTCTAAACTTCTAAATTTGGATGCGTCCGCTATCAAGATACCAAGAGGTACTCGAAGCCTTCAAGCACACCTACAAAAAGATATCAAGGAGACGGTTTAGGTACCCATGTATTGTTGGGCCCTTTTTGGTTAGCATTTGTGCGATGTGTGTGCGTTTGTTGAAAATGCCTAATTTTGGTGAAGCACACGGGTGCAATGTGACCTATCTTATTGCAATAGTGGCAAATAACATTTGGATTATTCATCCTATATGGTTGAGTGTAATGAGTTCTAGGTTTGCTAGGATATGCTTTTCTAGTTTGATTATTTATCCTAGCATTTTTATTCCCCCTAGCTTTAACAAATGTTGTTTTTCTAGGTTGGTTTTTCTTATATCCAAGTCCTTCACCATTACTAACTTTTTGCTTGAGTATTTTATCTAAGGTGTTTGAAGCATTATTGAACTTTCCCAATTTACTTTCTAAACTAGACACTTTAGCTTTTAATGAAGTACAACTAGAGCATGTAGAAGAAGAAGTAGTTGAAGGTTCTTGTGGTCTTTTTCCAAAAGAGATAATTTCTTGTTTAAGTTTATCATTTATATTTTTGAGTTCTTTTATATCATTCTCAAAAATCAGGATTTTTTGTTTAACTTCATTATTTTCTTTGGAAGCCTTTTTGAACATTCCTACTAAATCTTCTATGATGCAAACAACATCATTAAGAGTTAAAGGCTCATTGGGAGAAGGTTGATCACTTACCTCTTTTGATGTATCACCATCTTCAATGGCCATTAGACATAAGTTGGCCACTTCCTCCGTTTCTGAGTCTTCACTCCCGGAGCCGTCGTTCTCCCAAGAGATGTAGGCACGTTGCTTCTTCGGTGCCCTCTTGTCCTTCTCGTTCTTGAGCTTCGGACACATTGGTTTGATGTGTCCAATTTCACCACACCCATAGCATTTGGGTGGAGTGTTCTTCTTGGCTCCCTTCTTGAGCATCATCTTCTTGAATTTT